CTCAGGTCCCTTCCGACCCTACTAACTATGAAACTATATAAACTGGGCATGAAGAATTGGGAATCAAAAACATTTCTGACCACTGAAGCAAGAGCAATAAGGTTCTGAAACAACCTTCCAATATGAGGAAATGGGGCAAAAAACCCAGGTAATTTTTGGTATGTTTATAAAAGGTAGAGACCTACTAAATTCATGGCAGGAGTTAAGTGCATGGCAGCTCCTTTAGTTTTGCAGGTTCCCCTGTGTGACCCCCCGCTGTTGATTGGCGGAGGGCCCTGCTACTTGCTGCTCACTCCTGATCTGCATGGAAGCAAAAACTGTGTTTTTAAACACGGAGCCATTTTTGCCGCTTGCTGCTGACAGGCCCTGGCAGCCATGATCTCTGCCGCTGACTGGCTGGGAGGAAAAAATAACACCATATTTAAAACCATGGGTTTTGCCTCCCTGCTGATCAGGAGTGAGCAGTTTTTCCCTCCCAGCCTGTCTCAGCAACAGGCAGCATGGCTGCAGGGCCCATAGCCAATCAGCTGTGAACAGCAAAAACAATGCCATTTTTCAAACTCTGGTTTTTGTCTCCCTACTGATCAGGAGTGAGTGGCAAGCAGTGAGGCCCTTCCGCCATTCAGTGCTGGGGAGGTGCACAGGGGAACCTGCAAGATTAAAGGAGCCATCATGCACCCCACTCCCACCATGAATTTGGTAGGTCTCTAATAAAAGGGTAAGAAATGGTTGTCTACAAGGGGTGGGGGGCAGACTTAATGACTCAATCCTACATTTCTACAGGGGAGGAATAAGAAGCAACAAAATTCAGATTTCCTGCTGCAAATTCTGAGCACTAGAATAGGACTGAAAAAATTCTTGGACCAACTCTCTAGGCATCCCTTCAGACATACTACAAATGAGGGATTATATATAATAACAACAAAGAAATGTAATGCTGAATAAGTTCAGTCAAACCTGCATCAGAAAGGTTCCTGGAGCAGAGTTCATCTTGGATCAGCGCAAGGTAGCAAAGGCAAGCAGTCAGGTGGTGGCCCTAGATTTTAGGAGGGCAAACTTCAACGAGCTAAGGAGGATAGTTGGAGAAGCGCTGAAGACTCAGAGGGGAGGGGAGCCGGGTGTCCAAGGGGGCAGGAGAGCATATAAGCCTCTATGGCTCACTAAAAACATCCGGGAATGTCTCCTTGCCAAAAAGGAGGCTTACTCCCAATGGAAAGGAGGGGTCATCACTAAGGAGGACTATTCTGCAGTTGTTCGGGGATGTAGGGGGATGGTTAGGAAGGCCAAGGCAGAGATGGAACAGGGGCTGGCTTCCCTGATTAAGGACAACAAGAAGTCCTTTTTTAAATACATAGGGAGTAGAAAGAAGGCCCCAGGAAATGTGGGGCCCTTGCAGGACAAGACGGGGAATCTGGTTGTCACGCCAGATGACAAAGCCAACATATTTAATAACTTCTTTGCCTCTGTCTTCCTCAGTAAGGACCAGAACTGCCACCTCCCTGCTGGGCCCCCTTTGGGCCC